GTTTTATGGAACCAAGATGTAATACCATAGGGTGGGTCTTAGGCGTTGTAACTTTTCATTGGCAATGTCCACCTACTCTAAAGTGTCATGTACTTTATCATTTCTCTGTTGTTTTCAATTAGACTCTAAAAAAGTCACTGAAAGCCTAAAACGTTTATGTTCAGGAAAGTGTTTATCTAGGGCAAAATTAATTTTTCCCATGGTTCAGGAGACATTTTCCTATAGACTTCTATACAATCACATTTCTTTTTGCCTCGACATTAGTCTCTCCCTGTTGACCTTTGGAAAAGAAGAAGGCACTCGGCGTATTCTTCACATGTCAAACCTAGAGGACAAACCCATCATTTATATACACTCGCTTGCCCCTTTAGGTGCACCTATTCAACTGCTTGTTAACAAAAATAGCTCTTCAGTCTATTTAATCTATTTCATGTAGACATGGTAAAAACGACCAGCTGAAGTTCAAACTGAGCATCAGGACGGTTGTTGGTAACAGAGGAAAATGGCCAGACTGCTTCGAGATAGGCAGACAACAGAAACTCAAAAGCCTCTTTGCCACTTGTACCTACTTGGATTGACTTGACTTAACTCGACTCAGCTCTACTCACTTTTGGTTGTTTTCCATTACAATTAAGTGCCACCTAATCCACATGGGATCGCCATTTGTAGGTGACACAACAAAGGAGGATGCTGAGGCTTTTTGTCTAACTCACAGCCACAGTGTTGATTTTTGTGCAGCCATTTCCTTTGTTACTGGGTTTCAAAAACTGTGTTTTTGATTTTTATGAAGGAGTTGCTCTAGTGACTTGGAGTAACGCCATTGACTGGCCAATCAGTTTCATGCAGTCTGCTGACCTCACAAATTCTGGATGGATTTCACTTGGAACCATGGAAAACCACGGAAAACCACGGAAAGCCCTAAATCTGAGGCAAGCCAAGCCGAGTATGTGGAAAAGGGCTAAAATAAGATGAGATAAGATAAGATAAGCTTTATTAGTCCCACACAGCAGGAAGTGGACAGTGCAAAGGTTATATAGCAAAAAGAAATAAGCACTTGTTACAAATAAGGTATGCAGAAGAGCATCTCTGAAAGCACAACACTTTAAACTTTGGAGAAAATTGGTTACAGTAATAGAAGATCACATCAGACGGCACTCCTGATAGTGAATAGTTCTGGCGCAACACTGGATGGCAGGATCAGAATTTGGTGTAAAAAAGAACATGAAAGCATGATGTTTAAAGCATGGTCACGTCTGCTTTGCAACAATATTCTTACAAATCTAATGTGGTTGATCTCGGCCTGTTCCCTGAGACGATCCACATCCTACTTTCACAGAGTAGAGAAATGCAACATGCCAGTTATGACTGGGACAGAGGTTAATACAATTTTATTTATGCCAACAATGTTTGAATTCAGTTCTTCTTACAGGTCTAATTACTTATTGAATCCCTATTGACTCCCAATCAATTATCTGTGCTGACTTAAGTAGGCATACAGGGATTTAAAAGCATCAATGCAGCTGTTATCTGTGTTTAAACTCAGTCTGGAAATTGAGCAGAAAATGTTTCAGTGTCATAAAAATAAACCAACACTTGTAATGAAAAATTACCACGCTGAAGGATTATGATCAAACAATTTACAATTTTGCTCATATGCTCATTAATGGTTAAAAAAAACAATCTTCTTCTTGAACAGGAGTATGTAAAGCTTCTGTGTCACACAGATCTGATATACATTGATACACTTTAGATAACCATATTAGGGGTCCTCTATATGACATCATACAGGGGCCAAGATTAGGAAATAAACTGTCTGAAGCTGAGTGTTCAGGGCAGTCTGAAGTCAAACTATTTAGCTCACTGGGATTACCATCATGTTCTCATCGTGGGGAGTTATAAAATTCCATTTTGTCAGATGCTACCTGGATTTTCCTGTTGCACACACGGTGTCCTTTGGTGTCAGCCCCTTGATTCTATGGCAGTATTGGCCACTAAGACATAACAGTTCCAATTTAGAAACCTAAGAAGTCAATTTTAGCAGGTTGAAGGCTGACAGCTTGTCAAACAGGCTTGCTTTCACCCCCTTTAAATGAGTTGAGTTCTTTGATTTTTCACTCTATTTTCACTTTTGTGTTCACTTGCTAGTTAAGTTTAGGCATCAAATCCTACTCAGTTTGGGTTAGTAAAAAGTTGGGGTTTGGGGCAAAAGATGAACTTCACGACAGCAATCCCGAACACTGAAAAATTAAGGATTGGGAGTAATGAAACAATCTCTGTAAAGCTAATACTCTGTTCTGCAAAAGGACAACTTGTGCATAAATGAACGACACCAGAAACACTGACAGAAAGATTTGAGTGATGTCTTGCGAATGTCCGGAGAATAGTCTGGGATTACTTGTGCATATGATGACCTCTTTGTATCAAACTTTGACCACTGCACCATTGTAACAGTGGTTATATGTGACAGAAAACAAGGAAAAGCTCAATAGGCAGACTTTACTGTTATAAGCACACACAGGTGTATGCACAACAGGGAGCTTCAGTTTTTGCTCAATGAGATCTGTTGTTGCCATGGCATTCTACTGCATCTGCTTATATTGCCATGGAAACGCAAAAGTGATGACTGGCATTGGGGCTGTAAGTGAAATGGGTCAAGAGCACCTGCGACGAGTCAAACAGTGAAACAAAATCCGTCAGCGGGCTTTACGGGGCGACCACAGCAAACCCGGCTTAGCCTGAGCTCTGGAGTCACAGCTGGGAAAAACTCTTAACCTACTAACAAATAAAATGTGTGTCACATTAACGTGTTGCTCCACTAAAGCACTCACTTTAATGTTCAGATGTAATTCTGCTAGGTGACTTAGCGGTGACAGGAAACTGCATTGTAAACAAGTCAGACATATTCTCTGAAATAATTGGGGTGATGTGCATTTTGTTAAATCAAAGAAAACATAGATGAATAATTGTCTGAGAAGCTTGTAATCAGCTGTGCTCAGCAAACATTTCCTCTCGAGTAATTTTAACTAAGTGAGATCAATCTTTTGTGGGCCACTGGCTGAACACGACTGAGTGCACCTGAATTGTTATGACTCATTAACCCACTTTTAAAAAAACGAGTCATTCACCGTCGCCACCAAGAGGTTACGAAGAAGAACAGCTCGGACTGCCAAGGCTGTGGATTTAAGCCCTCCAACTCTGCTGCAAACCTACTGAAACACAACAGATCATTTTCCATGGATAATTTACTTTTCACTGGTGTGCACTGTGTGTAATTATTGTTTGGATAAACAGCCCCCTTTCTGTGCCTCTGAAAACCCCAGGTTCTTGTATTTAAGAGTGCTGCATTAATAGCAAAGTAGCTCCATCTTGTGGTTCTGTGTGACCATTTGAATCAACGCTGTGCTTCAGTACAGTGCAATAAAAATTATATCTTGGTCTATCAAACCAAATAGATTTGCTTATGTTTTTTCTTATTAACTTAAAATTCAGATCCTAAAATCACATACAGTTGAGCTGTTTCAGGTTTTGCTTCAATTAGAAGGGACACATACATTAATAGGAGCTAAATATAGTCACAGATAGCCCCCCAGGGCTGCACAAACAGGCTGTTAAAAGCTCATGCTGACATCTAGGGGTGTGCTGAGCTAATACTTCTGTTAAGATGTGTCAGACATATTCATTTGGAGGATGGTTCAAAATAGCTGAAGATGTTATTACACCAAGACAGTAACTTTTCTGATCATATTATAATGATGGACACAACCTGTGCCAATAAAAAACTTAAAATACGATAAAATCAAACACAAAACAACAGAAAAAAAATCTCCATCAGATTAGAAGTACATGAATGAGTTTAAATAAAACAGAATATATAGTAGATGTTTCTCTGTTAAACAGGTGTTTCATTCTACACGATTATTGCAGTTATGAAAGACTTCTTGTGTCTGTTCTTGTGGCAATGGACCTGAATCATCCTGTTAGAATTAGTTATTATCCCACATATAACAACACAGAGCAGCCACGCCTTCAAATGCACTGAAGAAATGGTTTTTAAAGGTAAAAAGTATTAATGTTTACCATCTCTGCAGAGTTAATGCTGATGTAGAAGGGAGCCAGGTCTGCACTTATCAAACATTAAACAGAACGCAAGGATTATTTCTGAAGTTGAAGGTGATTTCTTTAGTTTTGAGTGTGTTCGGTGGGCTGTTTTCTCAACTCTAAGCTGACAATTTCGGGTCCAAACACTGTAGTATCCTGACCACATTTGATTATGGTATTGTTGGGGTGGGCAGCACTATACAGGAAGTGTTTTGAGGAAGACAGAAATCAGTTCAGTAGTGAGAATAAGCAAAATTATATTCACAAACAACAAAAAAATAAATAAATAAGTAGAGCATAAGAAACACTATTTCCACACTTTTCCAGTTTTGTGAGAGTTTGGACCACTTGAGTGTTCATAATTAGTAAGACTTTGACTTTTTGACATGGTTTCTTTCTTTCATGTTCATTTCAAAGTTGTGTTTGAGGGTTAATTCTTGCTTTTGGGGTTAAAGTTAGCAAACTAGGTTTGTGTTAGAGTTATGGTAAGGGGCTGTTGTAGAGTATAGTAGAGCCTGGTTTCATGGCAACACATAAAATGGTCATTAAAAACAAAAATAATAACTAAAAATAATTACACAGTCACCGGGAAAGTGGACCTTTAAAAAGTCACAACCATTGTGTTTAACCCAATTCAGAATCTTTTTCTAATCCCAACCCTACCCAAGAAGATCCATGAAATGAGCCTCACTGCTCTCTGCCTCTTCTATGTGGATACTGACTACCTGTTTTAGGACGTTAATAGAAAAATATTTGGACCCTAAATTATATTCACATTTAGACTGTGTCCAGAAATCAATCATAAACTCATGTTAAGTATGGACAAGCGGTACTTGTAGTGCTTTGAAACTTGTTCAAAAAGGTTCTAAACTGATCTAGTTTTAGCATCTCACAAACCGTACTTGAAGGCAGCATCGTCTGCGCGTGCAACTACCATCATTCTCATATCCAGCTCCCGTCTGACCGCTGGCGGGGTGTGTCTCCTGGAGATAGCGGTGGCGAAATGAACCAGCGTCAAGTGAGCATCAAACAGACAATATTGTACCGGAACTTGAACCTGTATTGATGAAAAATAAAAGTACTGGCTTGCCTTTAACTGTAATTAAACTTTTAAATAAATGAATTTGAACTGAAAGACATCGACAACTCTGCAGAGTGTGAGATCACAATTTAAACTAAACTTGTAAAAACTTAGATTTTTGTGCTACATGTGCATTAGAGTTCAGTACTTATTTAATAAGAACTCACATTTAATTGTTCTTTTCACTCGAAGGGTGTGTTTGAGGCCATTGCTCTATGCAGGACAGTCAGTTGTTACTGCCGAGACAGTGGAGATACGGCTTGAATCACTGTCCCTGCCAACTGCAACCTCTTCCTTTGGAGTACAACAAGGGTTATTAAGAGATCCTCATATCTTATTCTTTGCAGAAGTACGTTTCAGGATTTAATACTGTTGCACAAAAAATAAAATGAAACTGAAACCCTACTGCAGATTCTTTCAGAAAAATAGAATCTTCCAAAACTCCCACTAATATTCAAAATGTCCTTTTTTCTACATAGTTCTGTCTCAGTACTCAGGGTTCCTTGTTTCTGAAAGGTAAAGGCCATAATGGGCTGCAACTATCTGTTGATCTCCCCACCCAAGAAAAATTACATTTTAAATGAAGAAAAAATAAAGTAAAAACAATAAACATAAAAATAACATTTAATACAATGAAATGAGACCCAAAACTGAAAAAATAAGGGGGGGGGGGGGGG